GCCTGGAACTGCACCGGGAGATCGTCCGGCACGACGGACTCGGGCGGCGCAAGGGTCATGGGCAGCTTGGTCGCTTGCCCCACACAAGTAGAAACTTTATTGAAGGTATCTAAATACTGTTGGTCCATATTTTATATAGTGTTGAATTAGATTATCTAAATAGTATGTGATGATATGAATGCGGCAAGAAGTGGCTGGGTATGGCGGTGCCATTTTTAAAGTTCGTCCTATTTCTCTTGTGAATCGTGTTTGTGGTTATTCGCGCGTCAAACGTGGGCATTTACACATCTCCAGCTTGCGTCTCTGAGCCTGTACGTATTGGTCGACGTGAGGCGGCAAGAAGGATGGCTAATCGTTGGGCCAATGACGAATGCGAGGTGACGAGGAACAGTGCTCTTCTACCGACCGTATCCGAAATACCGGATAATCTGGTCGAAATGGTTGACGAGAAAGAGGTGGTCGGGAAAGCGCGCGCGAGGCCAAACAGCCCGCTGAGATCCTGACGCGCATCGCCGCTGTACTAGCTCCTCGTTTGCTGCTGCCTTTTGATGTTGGTGAACGCTGCCTTTTGCGGCAAGTGACGCGCCTGGACAATGCACCGGCTCGCGCCTGTGACGATTCCGCACTGCGCCATGATCCCGATAACGGCAACGATCTGCATCGTTTTGATGGAGCCGTCGACGATCGCGGTTGCCACTGAAGGCCGCTCCCACGTCCGCCAAAGGCGGCGACGTCGCGGCGCTAGCTTTTGATCCTGCAGTACGTGATTCTAGATTTCGGTTTCTCCTCACACCGTTTGTAGGGACAATAAAGTGACACGAACATCAAGCACATTATGTGTGGCTCCAATGTCTTGTGCGTGAGCTCGGTGGGAGAGTGCGCCGTAGAAGGAAGAGACTCTGGGAAACGTGTGGTCGATGCGATGTTCGCGCCTCCAGTCGGTCCCCGACGTCTTCACAATCGCGTCCAAGGCATTCGGTAGCAAGACGTTTGGCCAGACCTCCGCTTCACGCCGGTTCATGGCTGCTCACAGACGACCACGACAAGATCCTTTCGCATCACTCGGCCGCCAGTCAGCGCTCCGAACGGCTGTTTCGTCCCACCTTGAGAAGGCGCCTCGCATGATCAGCTCGGTCTCTCAGACGAGTGAGATCGCGGTATGCTTGGCCGCTCGAATTGTCTGCCGTCCATCTCAACAGCCTATTGTCCCAACGACTCCAACTTCTCGCCAAGCCCCGCAATGCGAACTCGTCGGTTGTCGTTGTCCAACGAACTCTCGTCTGAAAACGCGCGTGGTCAACTCGCCAAAGCGATCGTCCGAGCGTCTCGCCGTGAAAGAGCCCTCAACCGCCGACGTTGGCGCCAGTCGCATACTCGGCAAGGTCGTGCCTTCAAGATCGATCTTCAAGCCCGTCTCTACCCAATGCACCGTGGCATTGGTCTCGCATCGAAACGCTTGAACTTGTAAGGCTCTCCTTGCAGCGCGCTGCAAAGGTCCGCCGTTTGGCCAATAGTATGTTTGACGCTAATGTGTACTACTGTAGTACGAGCACGTGCAACCGGTCCGTTTTGAAGATCTCGTGCCTCCTCAAGCTCATTGCGTTGGCCGACGACGCTTTCACGAGCGTGTGTTGGCTTGAGCTCAGGTGCTTTCGTACCTCCTCGCGACGATGTTGCAGACATCCGAGTGACCCATGGCGACCATCTCGAGCACCGTGCTGCAACACCGATTTGCAACGACGCGGTCTCTGCCACGCAAGCTCTTGGCGGCCTTGTGAGACGACGGTTCGCTACGTGCGTCGTTGCGCGCGTCCTTCATCGGTTTCTCATGCCATTTCGTAGACGAGCCAATGATCAGCGTCCGTGCATTCGTCGACGCTCCGATTGGTCGAAAATCGGAATATTTCAATCTTCGGGTCAGTGGCATTCGACCTTGCAGTAGTGATGGCGAGAGGCAAGGACATCCCGTGGGAAGACACGATGACGCTCTTGACCCTCTACCGCGCGGCCCATGGCCACCTCAAGGTGCAGGGCGAGTTCATCGTTCCGGCCCAGGAGCCCTGGCCGGCGATCTATCACGGCAAGGACCTCGCCATGGTCTTGCGCAACCTGCGCCGCCACGCGTGCAACTACGATGCAGATCGCTTTGACGGGCTCGAGGAGCTTGGCTTCGTCTGGCGAATGCCGCGCGGCAATCACCAGATTGTCACGTACTGGGCCAACGCAACAACCAAGTGGCTCGTCAATGGCATGCCTCTGACGTCGCTCGTGGCGCAGTTGAAGACGTACCACGAAGAGTCCCACAACTTGGACATCCCGGCGGCGCTCACCGTCGAGATGCAAGACGGCCATCAGAGCACGTTCCACGTCGCTCTCGCGTACGCGCCGCGATTGCTCCGCGCTCACTTTTACGAGCTCTCGGTCGCCGACGTGGACGTTCTGCACGGCCTCGGTCTCTTTCCCGAGCTTCCGCAGTGGGCTATTGTCAAGGCTCTATTCTCGCGGTACAAGGAGCGTCTCCACAGCGACGCGGTGCCGGTCAACTTCGAAGTGCCGGCCACGTGGGAGAACGTGTACCGCGGTATCCGCCTTGGCGAGCTCGCCTGGTACCTTTATCTCAAGTTCTCAGAGCTGCCCGAGGACAAGCGTCAAGAGCTCGACGAACTCGGCTTGCAGTTCAACGTGCCGGCGACGTGGGCGCCGATCGTGGACGGCCTCCGGGCGTACGTGACGCGCGTCGGCGACGCCAACGTCCCAGAAGGTCATCTGGAGCAAGTTGGCGGGGAGTCTCTGCGCCTGGGCTACTGGGTCGTCAAGCTTTGGCGCGCAAAAGAACTCCGCTTGCTCCCTGCCGACACATTGGCCGATGTCGTGTGGGCCGCGCCACCAACGGCAATGGTAGCCGTCTCTCGTCCTCGTCGTTCATCACCTGCTCCAGCAACGGCTCGTCGCGCACATCCCGCTCAAGCAACGGCTCGTCGTGCACATCCCGCTCCAGCAACGGCTCGTCGCGCACATTCCGCTCCAGCAGCGGGATACGGTGCTTCACCGAGCTCATCGGTGCGCAGATCGGCGCGCATCGCCACTCTTTTGCGCTCGCAACCTCTTCCCGGGCCAGATGTCGCACCGGCGTCAGACGCTGATCTTGAGTCGGCGGACAGCAGCGACCGTAGCAGCTCTGACGGCAGTGTGAGTGCTTATGAGTACGACGAGGACGACGACTCGGACGACGAGTACGACGACTCGGACGACGAGTACAACGACTCGGACGACGAGTACAACGACTCGGACGCCGACGCTGGTCGCGAGGCGGCGGCCGACACTGAATCGGACGAGGAGTACAAGAACCCGGACGCTGGTCGCGAGGCGGCGGCCGACACTGAATCGGACGAGGAGTACAAGAACCCGGACGCTGGTCGCGAGGCGGCGGCCGACACTGAA